GTCAGCGCTTAAATCCGGCCAGGGGCCCCCTGGCCGTGGCATTGCCGTACGGCAGTTCTCTCCTCTCCGTAGGAGAGAGGGGCCGCCGCCCCAGCCGCCGACCACCCGGTAGGGCCAAAAACTCCCGCGTTTTACGGTGTTTTGTGCTCTTCCCCTTTTTTCCCATTTTTCGGATCTTGTGGTTTAAGATGGGCCAACATGGGCCAACATAGGCCTCAAGATGGGCCAACATAGGCCTCAAGATGGGCCAACATAGCCCCAAGATGGGCCAACATAGCCCCAAGATGGGCCAACATAGCCCCAAGATGGGCCAACATAGCCCCAAGATGGGCCAACATAGCCCCAAGATAGGCCCACATAGCTCCAAGATGGGCCAACATAGCCCCAAGATAGGCCGCCGACCATCAAAATATCTGCGTTTTACAGTGTTTCTTTTGCTGTTCCCATTTTTCGGATCTTGTGGCTCAACATGAATCAACCTGAGGCCAACATAGGCCAACATAGCCACAAGATGGGCCCACATTGCCTGCAAGATAGACCAACATAGGCCAACATAGGCCAACATAGCCACAAAATGGGCCACATAGTTGGGCCCCTGGCCGGCTGTCGCGCGTAAGCGCTTAAATTCGGCTCCGCCGGCTCCACACGAGTACGCTGACAAATGCGTCACGAGCGTCCCAGAGCGACTAGAGCTCTATGGTGAGGCGCGCCCCAAGCCGCCGACCCTCCGACGCCGGGCCCCGAAAAACACCAAAAATCCTTCAGGAGGGTGGGGGAGAGGTTTTTGGACGGAATCCGGGTCGCTCATCAGCGTCTCCAAGAGCATTCCCCCCCCCCGTTTTGAGGGTACCTAAAATCGGGAAAAAGCGCCGTTTTGACACATTTTTCGGACGATTTTTCGCTTTTCGAAAGTCACAAAATGCTGTAAATTACAGCATTTTTGCGTTTTACCGTCTTTTGCGGGAGCATTTCAAAAACACACAGAATGCTGTAAATACCAATACTTTTTGGACCCGAGATGCACAAAACACTGCAAATACCAGTGTTTTTGCAAGCAAAGAAAAAAAACACTGTAAATTACATCATTTTTGGCGAGTTGATCGCAAAAAATGCTGGTATTTACCGTGCTTTTGCAATTTCAAGAAAACGTGGAAAGCACGAAACACTGTAAATAGCGGTGTTTTGGCCACTTTTGGACACTGAAACGCTGGTATTTACTCAGTTTTTTGCCCGTGAGGGCGCCAAACCCCTATAAATTACAGCATTTCCTTCCCTTTTTGAACCAATTTTTTGCCTTGATGAACGCACAAAACGTTGGTATTTACGCGTTTTTCAAAAAATCGAAGATCGTGACGTGAACGAAACCCTGTAAATAACAGAGTTTTAGCCACTTTCGGGGACTAAAACTGTGGTATTTACGCGGGTTCTTGCCATCTGACAGCGCAAAATGCTGTAAATTACAACACTTTGTGCGCTGTTTCTGTTCAATGTTTAATCGCGCGATGCTCTCACATGTTCTTGGCATTCTTCCACAAGAAACAATGTTGCAGATTAAAACTGGACCACAGCGTGACCCGAAAGAAAGCTGGATGGAAGAGACGCACAGAAGCTTTTACACACACAGGGGCTTTTACACAGAGAAGTCTTTACACAAAGGAGCTTTTTACACACAGAAGGTTTTACACAGCGAAGTCTTTACTCTAAGGAGCTTTTGCACACAAACGTCTCGGAGCTTTTACACACAGAAGCTTTTACACGAAGAAGTCTTTACACAGAGTGTTTTTTTTACACACAGACGCGTTTGCACACAGAAGCTTCTACACAGAGAAACCTTTACACAGAGGAGCTTTTACACACAAAAGCGTTTACACACAGCAAGCTTTTAAACACACAGAAACTTTTTTACACAGAGAAGCCTTTACACAGAGAGTTTTTACACGCGGAAGCTTTTACACACAGCGAAATCTTTACACAGAGGCGCTTTCACACAGAGAAGCTTTCACACACCCGAGAGCTTTTACACACGGAAGCTTTCACACACAGAAGTTTTTACACAGAGAAGCCTGTACACAGAGAAGCTTTTACACACAAGCGCGTTTACACACAGAAGTTTTTGCACAGAAGAATCTCTACATAGAGAAGCTTTCACACGCAGAACCTTTTACACACAAAAGTTTTCACACAGAGAAGTCTTTACACAGAGAAGCTTTTACACGCAGAAGCTTTTACACCCAGAAGCTTTTACACAGAGAACTCTTTACACAGAGGCGCTTTTACACGAAGTGGAAAGTTGAAATTGGCAGCAATTCTCTGGAAAAAAACAATCGCAGGAGCTTTCGGGAACACGCCTTCCCCACTTGCTTCAAGAAAAAAACGCAGTTCCATGATTCCATGAATTTGTTCAAAAAAGCATAAGGAATATATTTCTGAAGCAGCAGGTCCTCATTCAATAGCTTTCAAACCCACCCTGCGATGACATCGAGGTCAAGTAATCCGGCGGAGCCGACGATGAGCGTCAGCTGTAAAATTCGGCTCCGCCGGCTCCACACGAGTGGCTTGCCCCACGAGCGTCCCAGAGCGACTAGAGCTCTATGGTGAGGCACGCCCCAAGCCGCCGACCCTCCGACGCCGGGCCCCGAAAAACAGCAAAAATCCTTCAGGAGGGTGGGGGGAAAGCTTTTTGGACGGAATCTGGGTCGCTCATAAGCGTCTCCAAGAGCAAAAGGCCCCCCCCCCCGTTTGGAGGGTACCTAAAATCGGAAAAAACGGCCGTTTTGACACATTCTTCGGACAATTTTCAACTTTTCGAAAGTCACAAAATGCTGTAAATTACAGCATTTTTGCGTTTTACCGTCTTGTGTGGGAGCCATGCAAAAACGCAGAAAATGCTGTAAATACCAATACTTTTTGGACCCGAGATGCACAAAACACTGCAAATACCAGTGTTTTTGAAAGCAAAGCAAAAAAACACTGTAAATTACAACATTTTTGGCGGGTTGATCACAAAAAATGATAGTATTTACACGGTTTTTGCAATTTCAAGAAAACGTGGAAAGCACGAAACACTGTAAATAGCGGTGTTTTGGCCACTTTTGGACGCCGAAACGCTGGTATTTACGCAGCTTTTTGCCCGTGGCGGCGCCAAACCCATGTAAATTACAGCATTTTCTTCCCTTTTTGAGCCGATTTTTTGCGTTGATGAACGCAAAAAACGCTGGTATTTACGCGTTTTTCAAAAAATCGAAGATCGTGACGTGAACGAAACCCTGTAAATAACAGAGTTTTAGCCACTTTCGGGGACTAAAACTGTGGTATTTACGCGGGTTCTTGCCATCTGACAGCGCAAAATGCTGTAAATTACAACACTTTGTGCACTGTTTATGTTCAATTTTTGAACCTGCCACCTGTTCTTTGCATTCTTCCACAAGAAACAATGTTGCAGATTAAAACTGGACCACAGCGTGACCCGAAAGAAAGCTGGATGGAGGAGTCGCACAGAAGTTTTTACACATACAGGGGCTTTTACACAGAGAAGTCTTTACACAAAGGAGCTTTTTACACACAGAAGGTTTTACACAGCGAAGTCTTTACTCTAAGGAGCTTTTGCACACAAACGTCTCGGAGCTTTTACACACAGAAGCTTTTACACGAAGAAGTCTTTACACAGAGAGCTTTTTACACACAGACGCGTTTGCACACAGAAGCTTTTACACAGAGAAGCCTTCACACAGAGGAGCTTTTACACACAAAAGCGTTTACACACAGCAAGCTTTTACACACACAGGGGCTTTTACACAGAGAAGTCCTTACACAAAGGAGCTTGTTTCACACAGAAGGCCTTACACAGAGAAGTCTTTACTCTAAGGAGCTTTTCCACACAAACGTTCTTAGGACCTTTTTCACACAGAACTTTTTGCACGAAGAAGGCCTGACAGAGAGAGTTTTTACACACAGACGCGTTTGCACATAGAAGCTTTTACACAGAGAAGCCTTTACACAAAGGAGCTTTTTACACACAGAAGGTTTTACACAGAGTTTTGCACACAAACGTCTAGGAGCCTTTACACTGAAGCTGTTACACAACGAAGTCTTTACACAGAGGGCTTTTTACACACAGACGCGTTTGCACACAGAAGCTTTTACACAGAGAAGCCTTCACACAGAGGAGCTTTTACACACAAAAGCATTTACACACAGCAAGCTTTTACACACACAGGGGCTTTTACACAGAGAAGTCTTTACACAAAGGAGCTTTTTACACACAGAAGGTTTTACACAGAGAAGTCTTTACTCTGAGGAGCTTTTGCACACAAACGTCTAGTAGTCTTTACACACAGAAGCTGTTACACAAAGAAGTCTTTACACAGATATATAGCTTTCACACACAGCCGCGTTTACACACAGAAACTTTTACACAGAGAAGCCTTTACACAGAGGGTTTTTACACACGGAAGCTTTTACACACAGTGAAATCTTTACACAGACGCGCTTTCACACAGAGAAGCTTTCACACACAGAAGCTTTTACACAAAGAAGTCTTTATACACAAAGTGGTTTTTACACACAGAAACTTTTACACGCAAAAGCTTTTACACACAGAAGTCTTTGCACAGAGGCGCCTTTACACGAAGTAACCAGTTGAAATTGGCAGCAGTTGTTCGGGACAAACTCTTGGCAGGAGCTTTCGGGAACTCACTTGCTCCCCAAAAAAGCCGTCTATTTCCAACAAAGTTCCTATTCCATGAACTATTTTCAAAAAACATAAGGAATATATTTCTGAAGCAGGTCCCCATCCAAAAGCTTTCAAGCCCACACTGCGATGAAATGGAGGGTCGAGAAATCCGGCGGAGCCGACGAGGGGCGTCAGCCCTTAAAATATCTGTAAATTGTATAACTTGAATATAAATTGTATCCTTTCGTGCAGATATGCTTGGTGAATCTTGAATCTTGGTGACTTCTTGATTCGTTTTGACTTCATTCCGACATCGTCATGACGGCACCTGGATCTCAGCACCAGTGCGCTGCATTATCTCCCGGACAGTTTCTCCTCCTCTTCCGATGACCTTCCCGGCCTCAACAGAGTCACCAAGGTCATGGAGGTTACGGTGGAGTTTCCATTGAAGAAACAATTTTTAAAAAAAGATGAGAAAAGCTGCCTCCTTTCCAAGCACCCACAGCTTGAAGCCTTCTTTTCCTGAGGATGGGCACGGCTCGACGGCCATGCTGACGAGATCTCAAAAGATCTTCACACTAAATGATCTAAAAATATTTAAAATATTTTAAATTTGTCTAAAATGGTCACAGCTCAAAACACTTCTGAAACGGAACTGAAACGGAAATCTGCCCAGTCCTGATGCCGGAGGTCCACCACCATGACCCGTCTTAGTATTTGCAGCACATCGCTAGGGTGTATCCATCCCGAAACTCCCGTCAGCTCAACCTCCAGCACATATAATTATATGGGTTTGCCCAGAAATGAGTTTGAGACAAACCCATAATCTAGGTATTTCAGCCACACAAGTCACTGCTTGGGACAGCACAGGCTTGCCGTCGTCCTTCAGAACGGTGCCATCGAGAAGCTTGCAATGGCTGACCTGCAGCATGGCCACACTTCTGGCGAAGGATTGCAGAATAATGTCAAGCCGCAAGAGGAATATCAAGACACACAAAGTTGAAAGAATATTTGTTCGCTGGGTGTCCCTAGATGTCATTGGTGACATGCGAAGTGGCGGTAGATTGGAATAATATGTGCCACCAGTAATATGTTCATTCGAGTACTGGACTGTTCTGAGGTGCGTTTTGAGATGCTTTGAGGAAAAGGTGACACAAGATCAGAGTAGGACGGGAAGTCAAGAAATCAGGAGAAGCAAATACAATCAATTACATAGTTGTTAGATGTTGTTAGCTTGATCCTGTCTTCACATTGTATGAGAGTACTCCAGTAGCAGGCAATAAAGGACAGAAACGAATCTCAGCAACATAGACGGCAAAATCAACATCGAGATTAATGATGTTTGTGTTTTGCTTGTGCAAAAACTGTTCAAGAGACACTGCACTCTGAAAGTAAATAAAAGTTGGTCTTCGATGAATTGATGAAGTGCCTGCTGCACGGCTATATGCCAAAAACACATTTGCACGACCTGTGGTGTCTTGCAAGTTGTATCTAGTTGTTGTTTTCTGGTCGGGTCGCTTTCAATGATGTCTGCTAGTGTCACGACTTTGCTCGAACCTCTAGCAGCACAAGCTCCTTGGCCCGCTCGATGGATTCTGGCCGTCCAGAAATCGTGAGGCGACCCTGCAGGGAAGGTTCATTCCAGAAATCTGGGGAGACATGGGAGACTCGAGCACTTCCCCTTTGGATTCAAACATCCAAGATTATCTCTGCAGGTCCAGGATTTCTCCGATCAACCATGGAAGACTTTGGCCATTGTCAATTATTGAGGCATCATCATGCGCTCGCATCTTCAGCACGTTTGCGCAGCAACTGTCCAGCACCTCCGCCTTGTCGATTTCGAGTCTGGCACGAGACTCATCCTGCAGTGCTGCGTAGCGTTTCACTTAGTGTTAGAAACAACATGATGCAATCAACTTTTGTGTGTTAAGATGCCTTGAGTCATCTTGAGTCTAAAGTCTTAAGTCAAATCTGGTCCTCAAGTCTTCGGATAGTCTCGCCACCGCGCCCAAGAACCCTTCCAACCTGCAAAGCAATGCTATGGGAGACATGATTTGTCCAGTTCGCCAGATATTTCATCTGTGTTAATTATATATATATAAGTTATGAGTCCTTCAATCATTCAATATCCACTTTCATTGCGTCCACCAATGAGATCTCTTTTCATCTCCTTTCTCATCTTATCTCATCTTTGGTCCTGGTCCTGCTGGAACTGTTGGTCTGGACCTCGTTGCAACTGATCTGCAGGACCAGCGCATCTCCGGCTCCTGGAGCTGGGACGGCTGCCCCGTCCTTGAGAACCTCAGGGCGCCAGGGCGCCAATGGCAATGCCAGGCATTGCAGGCAACAACTGCCAAGTTGTGCCAAGTTGTGCCAAGTTGTGCCAAGTTCGGAACCTTCCCATCTTCATCTCGGACATAATTGGCAACATCCAGAATCTGCGGTTGCATTGCAACATATTGCAACATTGCAGCTGGCACATGGTTTTTTGATCACTGAATTGAGCAGAATTGTAATTGTATTGAGGCAAGAAGGGGCACCCGTTCAAGTGCTGCTCGTCGCTGTCGAACATTGCCGATAATGTCAACCCAGCGTTCCTGTCTTTCCATTAAAAAAGCGAAGCAGGTCATGGTGTAGAAATCCTTTGATGTCATTCTGCGGTCAATGCCAACATTGCTAAGCTGTGTCTCATAAGCTGCTGCCTTCTTGTCACCATCCATGTCCTCTTCTCTTTGGATTTTGATGGAGGCCTCCCAAGCAAGAGTAATCGACAGAGGGGCTCTCCACATCTTTCCAGGGTAAAGGATGCTCCCCAGTCTTTCTCATGGATCTGCAAAAGCTCAAAAAATGCAACAGGCTGGCGCAACCGTTTTCTACGAAGAGATGAAGAGTCTATGGTCTTCGAAAAGTCAAGGATCCTGATTTTTGTCGACTTGTCCAGGACATTGGCCAAGTGACAAGCGACCCAGAGCGACCAAGCCGAAGTTGGCTGAATCACTCACCGTACAGCTTTCGGTCTGCTTCTTTTTCAGCAGTAAATTTGAGTTGGGATTCACTCGCAGCCCCAAGATCCACCTAAGGCAGTACAGAAGAACATCAAATGTCAAGATGTACATTGTATGTGCAGTGAAAACGTGCTCGTCTTTTAAACGTGAAGGAATCTGTTAACATGTTATGTGCAGTGAAAACATGCCTGTCTGTGAAAGTGCAAAAGTATGCAAAAGTCCTTGGAAGTTACTTCACTGGCATTGTAAGGTTTGCACAACAAGCTTCTTGGTAACATTCTGACGACCAACACCAATGCTGCTGGCCCACATTCTGACCTCAGACATTCGATGCTCCTTTGCGATTCCAAAGTGGAAGGATTTGGGGAAACAGCTGAGGCCTGAGCTGCATCTTGGGCGGGCTCTCCACTCGCCTCCATCAAGTCCTTTTGAAACTCGGGGTGTGTCACCAGCCTAGCCATGACTCCAGCTTTGAACACCACTCTATATGGGGTTGGGCTTCATTGACCATGTCAAGACTCTTGACTCACTTGACTTTCAACCGGCCTAAATGAAAATTCTCCAAGATGCCAGCCAGGCTTGACGGCAATCCAAAAATATTTAAAACTTCTGTTGGACAGCTGACATCAAACTTGGCCCTTCATCCCAAATGGATCATCATGTTACGTTTCTGTCCTTGCCAGCTGGCGGAAGACAAAATATGGCTGAGCTTCAAGCCACTTGAAAAACCAGGATGAAACGTACATCGGCCCTGCATACCCAGATCCAAAGGGATTGTTGCCTTACATGGCCGTCAGCATGAGAAGATCGCACCTGTTCTGCTTAGTTTTCTGACACAAGCTGTGACAGCTCTAGTCCAACATGATGCAAGTTGAGGTGAATACGCTGCACAACATCTGGAAGGCCTTTCCTCTGCATTTGGAGGATGCCCTCGTAGAGTGCCTGCGATCAGCCGTCAATGACACATGTGATTTATCATGATTGACCGGACGCACGGCCACAGGCCAGGCCATCCAAGTGCCCAACTAATCTCTTCTCCCTATTACTAAAATTCCCCCAACTAATAAAAATAGATGATTGCCACTTTCGGTTTTTTTGGTTGCTCACAATTGCGTTCTTAATTGTGGTAATTGAAAACCAATTGGAGAACAGAATGGTGAAATAGTGATTTCTACCCCCTATTAATAAAAATAGAACGAGAACCGTAAGTTTATTATTAGGGTCTCATCAACTTTGAAATCATGTGTTTTATTCTGTTTATTGATGTTTTAATTTGACTATTATAGGGGGAAAGTTTCAACATCCAATTTTTGGAAATATTTTGAAAGGATTTTAAAAAGGGATTTAAGTGATTTCGAAATCGTTTTTTGTTTTTAATTAAGGTTTTTGTTTTATTATTAGGGGGAAGTTTCGAAATCCAATTTTTGGCAATATTTTAAAAGGTTGTCAAAAAGGGATTTAATTGATTTTGAAATCAAAATTTTCATTTGTTTGTTAAGGTTTCTGTTTTATTATTAGGGGCACCCGCTAAATACCTCTTAATCATAAAAATAGATCACCGTGTTTACCATTTGCGGGCGGGGTTAGTATTAGGGAGCAGAGATTACTGTATGATCTTGGGGTACATTTGTATGCGTCAATATTCGTCAATATTGGAGTACCAGTCAACCCCTAAATTGGCCTTGTTTTTGTACTCAACCATCCATTTTGAGGAGGGCGATAAGTTTGACCCATACAAACATTATCCACTGTGCCTCTTCGCTGACTTGCTCTTCCTCTGCAATGCGCCCTTTGGCGCTGCCAAATTGAGCACCATCCAACAACGGCTCGGCCCCATACCTCCCGCAGTTGCCAGCAAGCACTAAGCACTAAGCTGCTTTAATACCCACGATGCACAAAAATTAATCAAAATTACTTTACTTCGAGTGATCCCCACCATGACATTTATCGATTTGTTACTGGCAAATCTTCTGGCATTCTATCTGACATATCTTCTGGCATTCGATCCGGCATTCTATCTGGCATATATTCTGGTATATCTTCTGGCATGTCTTCTGGCATTCTATCTGGCATATTTTCTGGCAGATGTTCTGGCATATCTTCTGGCATGTAGACTGGCATTCTATCTGGCATATCTTCTAGCAGATGTTCTGGCATATCTTCTGGCATATCTTCTGGCATTCTATCTGGCATTCTATCTGGCATATCTTCTGGCATATTATCTGGCAAATCTTCTGGGATTCTATCTGGCATATCTTGTGGCAGTCTATCTGACATTTTATCTGGCATTCTATTTGGCATACCTTCTCGCATTCTATCTGGTATATCTTCTGGCATTCTATCTGGCATATCTTCTGGCATTCTATTTGGCATATCTCATGGAATTTTATCTGGCATATCTTCTGGCATTCCATCTGACATTCTATCTGCCATATCTTCTGGCATTCTATCTGCCCGTTGAGGTCCAGCAGTGCACACTGAGCTGGGGAGGTCCCCGGTTGAGGTCCAGCGGTGCACACTGCGCTGGGCAAATCCCAGGTTGAGGTCCAGCGGTGCACACTGAGCTGAGACGGTCCCTGGTTGAGGTCCAGCGGTGCACACTGAGCTGGGAAGGTCCCAGGTTGAGGTCCAGCGGTGCACACTGAGCTGGGCAGGTCCCAGGTTGAGGTCCCAGTGCACACTGAGCTGGGAAGTTGGCAAAGAGCTTGGCGAAGAGAGTTGGCAAAGAGCTTGGCGAAGAGAGTTGGCAAAGAGCTTGGCGAAGAGTTGGCAAGGCGGAAGTGGAGGTGGAAGTTGATGCAGACATGGTCGAGGAGAAACTAGAGGGGGAGGAGGAGGAGGACGAGGAGGAGGAGGAGGACAGCTAGCCGAGGAGGAGGAGGAGGAGGAGGAGAACAGCTCTGATAAAATCTAACAACCCTCACCTGGCAGGTGGGGAAAAAGTTCACATCCAAAGTTCACATCCAAGGCATCCAGGGTCACAGGAGGTTGTAGTCCAACAGGTCGTAGGAATAGATGTTCTTCCGACCACAAATTTTAGGGACCTCATCGTTGAGGTGGAAGCCTGTTGCCTTCGGACGCAGACTCCAAGGTCAATCGTTCCATGTCACTTGGAACCTGGTCCTGGTGGATCCTGGTGCCTGGTGGCTCAGCTCCAGCCTTGATGATGATGTCGCAGTCCAATTTAGATCCATCCTTCCCCAGCATCCCCAGCATCACTCCATGTCACACCACATCCAAAGTGTGCTACCAGCGGTGTCACCGTGAGATTTATGCCAATTCATGCAGCTGGGAGTCTCCCGGGCCTTCAGAATCACTCCCTGACCATCATTGCGATATTCATGGATCTCGCCCACCCTGAGGCAAAGCACTGTATAATTCCCGCAGTGGACAAGCTGATCGCAGGGCATCAGTGTCGCAAAGGGCCCTCAAAGATTCAGTCCTCACAACGACTATGTGCTGCCTTCTTCTCTTCGCTTGTTTTGTGTTTTCTGCGAATTTAGTGTTTTTCCAACAAGGCCAGGTGGTCTCTCACAAATTCTATACTAACCATTTATTCAGATTCATTAAACAGAGAAAATCAGAGAAGTTATTCATGCATCTTTTAGTCGGCCATTTGTGGGTCGCATTTCATCATCGTTTTCTGATTCGCTTCATGCATCTTTGTATGGCCTGAGGGTAGCAAGCCCGTGGTATCCAGCGATGAAGCCAAGATCGGAGACCTGACGGGAGGTCCAAGGCCATGCCGAAGATCTTTGAGAGATGTCTTATATTGTCTTATCATATGACCACAAAGTCGTGTCGGATTCCCGGTCAAAACAAGCCAGCACTCCCACAATGCCCTTTACATGACCAAGACAAGCATGTCTGGAGCACTGAGACTGTGTGATTGTGCGGCTTCAGCAGCCCTTCTGCCCAACCTCGCAAGGCGGACTGTGGTCACAATCGCATTTCACTGCTGCATTGTGGTCGGGTCTCCTAACTACGAATAAGATCCGCACATTCGGGCTTCGGCAAGCCTGAATCCTGCAGAGATAGAGTCGATAGAGATATGCAAAGATTGTGAGTGGAACTGAAGCGCTTCACTCTCTGCGATTTGAACATCACCGCTCTCCTCGTAACACTGCTTCCATACATCAAAGCTAATGATGTTGCCCGCCCTATTCGTGTTGTAGAACCTAAGCACTGAGCACGATCTTCAGCGACTCTCAAGCGACTATGGACGGCTCAAAGCCAGGCAGCTCATCTGCAGGTCGCAGGAAGGCGATGACATCAATCCTGGCCATCGGCATTGTGCAGCATGGTGTAGCTGCCTTTTGGGGTGCAAGTGCTGGGCTAATCTATTTGAATTTTCACTTCCCTGGTCGTGATTGCCATGATCCTTGACAATCTTGACACCATTTCAGGAAATTCTGGAGTGGAAAGTTGAACTTGCTGTGCACACGATCATACACGTGCTTTCGTGTTTTGTACATGCCCGAAAATACAACAAATTACTTTACTTCGAGTGATCCCCACCATGACATTTATCGATTTGTTACTGGCAAATCTTCTGGCATTCTATCTGACATATCTTCTGGCATTCGATCCGGCATTCTATCTGGCATATCTTCTGGCATATATTCTGGTATATCTTCTGGCATGTCTTCTGGCATTCTATCTGGCATATCTTCTGGCAGATGTTCTGGCATATTTTCTGGCATATCTTCTGGCATTCTATCTGGCATTCTATCTGGCATATCTTCTGGCATATTATCTGGCAAATCTTCTGGGATTCTATCTGGCATATCTTGTGGCAGTCTATCTGATATTTTATCTGGCATTCTATTTGGCATACCTTCTCGCATTCTATCTGGCATATCTTCTGGCATTCTATCTGGTATATCTTCTGGCATTCTATCTGGCATTCTACCTGGCATATCTCATGGCATTTTATCTGGCATATCTTCTGGCATTACATCTGACACTCTATCTGGCATATTTTCTGGCATTCTATCTGGCCGTTGAGGTCCAGCGGTGCACACTGAGCTGGGCAGGTCCCAGGTTGAGGTCCAGCGGTGCACACTGAGCTGGGCAGATCCCAGGTTGAGGTCCAGCGGTGCACACTGGGCTGGGCAGGTCCCAGGTTGAGGTCCAGCGGTGCACACTGAGCTGAGACGGTCCCTGGTTGAGGTCCAGCGGCGCACACTGAGCTGGGAAGGTCCCAGGTTGAGGTCCAGCGGACTGAGCTGGGAAGGTCCCAGGTTGAGGTCCAGCGGTGCACACTGAGCTGGGCAGGTCCCAGGTTGAGGTCCCAGTGCACACTGAGCTGGGAAGTTGGCAAAGAGCTTGGCGAAGAGTTGGCAAGGCGGAAGTGGAGGTGGAAGTTGATGCAGACATGGTCGAGGAGAAACTAGAGGGGGAGGAGGAGGAGGAGGAGGACGAGGAGGAGGAGGAGGACGAGGAGGAGGAGGAGGACAGCTAGCCGAGGAGGAGGAGGAGGAGGAGGAGAACAGCTCTGATAAAATCTAACAACCCTCACCTGGCAGGTGGGGAAAAAAAATGAAAAAAACAATCGTCTGACAGGGACACCAGAACAAATCCAAATGCATGATCTGAATGCATTCACTTGAATGCACTCCATGTTTTGGCGTCCAAATGCTTCCAAGCAGTACAAGGACGCATTGTCAGCATCGTTTCTGCAACAAAGGCGGGCTGGCCATTTTGGACAGGTGGTGCCAGAGCGACGTCCCAGCATCGTCACCTGGGTACGAAATCACCAGCGGCATGTGGAATCCAACTTGCACCTAGATTCCCTAGATCTGTTCGGTGGATTAAACAGATTCATCAACATTCTGGAACTGAGTTTCCTGCATGTCTCGCCCCATGCTCTATCGCGGTTCGAAGATTTTCATACCTGCATGTCACAGAATCACCAGGATCCGGCGGTTCTTCGCTGGTTGCAAGTGCTGATGACAGCTGCGCACGCGAAAGCTCCTGCTCCCACTACAATGACCTCGGGTCTTCAGTGGAATGATTGTGTGAACACACACCTTTCACAGCATTCAAACATCCCGAAAACTGATGCTTACTGAGGGGGACACATTCTTGCCCCAGAACTTCAAGGGCAAAACCTCGACCGCGGTCGTCAAGCAGTGCTTGGATCGGAGATAGGTCTGCTCACGGCACACGGGCACACGGGCAATCCATGGGCACACGGGCACACGGGCACCCGGGCACACGGACACGCAGCCAAATCACGGGCACACGGGCACACGGGCAATCGACCGGCATCCGGGCAACCGGGCACGGGCACACAGTCAATCTACGGGCACACGGGCACAGGAATCAAAGAAACTCAGGTAACATGACGGAATAATCCGCCGACCCTGGCCTTCGCAAAGGCAGGGGCGGCGCCTGGGACCACCGGAGGTGTGTCATAGCCATCTTTCATTGAGGCATTCAAGCCTGCCGTTACCAGGCTTCAAACGCTTAAAACTCTTAAAACCCCTAAAACCCTCCAATTCCCTCGCGGCAGCTTCCACCAAGCCCTCTGGCCGTCAGCCTTTGCTGCTCCAGGGTTGCAGCCTGCCCTTTGCCTGCATATCCCTCGCGGCAGCTTCCACCAAGCTCCTGGCCGTCAGCGTTCCAGCATTGCAGCCTGCCCTTTGCCTGCACATAGCCCTCTCTTGTTAGGGCATTCGAGCCTGCCGTTTGCCAGGCTTCAAACCCTTAAAACCCTTAAAACCCTCCAATTCCCTCGCGACAGCTTCCACCAAGTTCTCTGGCCGTCAGCCTTTGCTGCTCCAGGGTTGCAGCCTGCCCTTTGCCTGCATATCCCTCGCGGCAGCTACGAAGCTCCTGGCCGTCAGCGTTCCAGCCTTGCAGCCTGCCCTTTGCCTGCACATAGCCCCTTAAAACCCCTAAAACCCCTAAAACCCTCCAATTCTGTCGCGGCACCAAGCCCTCTGGCCGTCAGCCTTGCTGCTCCAGAGTTGCAGCCTGCCCTTTGCCTGCACATCCCTCGCGGCAGCTTCCACCAAGCTCCTGGCCGTCAGCGTTCCAGCATTGCAGCCTGCCCTTTGCCTGCACATAGCCCTCTCTTGTTAGGGCATTCGAGCCTGCCGTTTGCCAGGCTTCAAACCCCTAAAACCCCTAAAACCCTCCAATTCCCTCGCGGCAGCTTCCACCAAGCCCTCTGGCCGTCAGCCTTTGCTGCTCCAGGGTTGCAGCCTGCCCTTTGCCTGCATATCCCTCGCGGCAGCTTCCACCAAGCTCCTGGCCGTTCCAGCATTGCAGCCTGCCCTTTGCCTGCACATAGCCCTCTCTTGTTAGGGCATTCAAGCGTGCCGTTTGCCTGCCAGGCTTCAAACCCTTAAAACCCGTAAAACACTCCAATTCCCGCAGCTTCCACCACGCCCTCTGGCCGTCAGGCTCCAGGGTTGCAGCCTGCCCTTTGCGTTCCAGCATTGCAGCCTGCCCTTTGCCTGCACATAGCCCTCTCTTGTTAGGGCATTCGAGCCTGCCGTTTGCGAGGCTTCAAACCCCTAAAACCCCTAAAACCCCTAAAACCCTCCAATTCCTTCGCGGCAGCTTCCACCAAGCCTGGCCGTCAGCCTTGGCTGCTCCAGGGTTGCACAGCCTGCCCTTTGCCTGCACATCCCTCGCGGCAGCTTCCACCAAGCTCCTGGCCGTCAGCGTTCCAGCATTGCAGCCTGCCCTTTGCCTGCACATAGCCATCTCTTGTTAGGGCCTTCAAGCCTGCCGTTTGCCAGGCTTCAAACCCTAAAACCCCTAAAACCCCCCTCAATCATTCCCTCGCGGCAGCTTCCACCAAGTCTCTGCCGTCAGCCTTTGCTGCTCCAGGTTTGCAGCCTGCCCTTTGCCTGCAATATCCCTCGCGGCAGCTTCCACCAAGCTCCTGCCGTCAGCGTTCCAGCATTGCAGCCCCTTTGCCTGCACATAGCCCTCTCTTGTTGGGCAAGTTCGAGCCTGCCGTTTGCCAGCCTCAAACCCCTAAAACCCTCCAATTCCTCGCGGCAGCTTCCACCAGCCCTCTGGCCGTCAGCCTTTGCTGCTCCAGGGTTGCAGCCTGCCCTTTGCTGCACATCCCTCGCGGCAGGTTCCACCAAGCTCCTGGCTCAGCGTTCCCGCATTGCAGCCTGCCCTTTGCCTGCACATAGCCCTCTCTTGTTAAGGCATTCAAGCTGCCGTTTGCCACGCGTTCCACCAACCTTTGCTGCCCAGCCTGCCTCTTTGCCTGGCAGCTACCTCTGGCCGTCAGCGTTCCATTGCGCCTGCGCCTGCACAACCCCTAAAACCCCTAAACCCCTAAAACCCTCCAATTCCCTCGCGGCAGCTTCCACCACGCCCTCTGGCCGTCACCCTTTGCTGCTCCAGGGTTGCAGCCTGCCCTTTGCCTGCATATCCCTCGCGGCAGCTTCACGAAGCTCTGGCCGTCAGCGTTCCAGCCTTGCAGCCTGCCCTTTGCCTGCACATAGCCCCTTAAAACCCCTAAAACCCCTAAAACCCTCCAATTCCCTCGCGGCAGCTTCCACCAAGTTCTCTGGCCGTCAGCCTTTGCTGCTCCAGGGTTGCAGCCTGCCCTTTGCCTGCATATCCCTCGCGGCAGCTTCCACCAAGCTCCTGGCCGTTCCAGCATTGCAGCCTGCCCTTTGCCTGCACATAGCCCTCTCTTGTTAGGGCATTCGAGCCTGCCGTTTGCCAGGCTTCGAACCCCTAAAACCCTTAAAACCCTCCAATTCCCTCGCGGGAGCTTCCACCAAGTTCTCTGGCCGTCAGCCTTTGCTGCTCCAGGGTTGCAGCCTGCCCTTTGCCTGCATATCCCTCGCGGCAGCTTCCACCAAGCTCCTGGCCGTCAGCGTTCCAGCATTGCAGCCTGCCCTTTGCCTGCACATAGCCCTCTCTTGTTAGGGCATTCGAGCCTGCCGTTTGCTAGGCTTCAAACCCCTAAAACCCCTAAAACCCTCCAATTCCCTCGCGGCAGCTTCCACCAAGCTCTCTGGCCGTCAGCCTTTGCTGCTCCAGGGTTGCAGCCTGCCCTTTGCCTGCATATCCCTCGCGGCAGCTTCCACCAAGCTCCTGGCCGTCAGCGTTCCAGCATTGCAGCCTGCCCTTTGCCTGCACATAGCCTTCTCTTGTTAGGGCATTCGAGCCTGCCGTTTGCCAGGCTTCAAACCCCTAAAACCCCTAAAACCCCTAAAACCCTCCAATTCCCTCGCGGCAGCTTCCACCAAGTTCTCTGGCCGTCAGCCTTTGCTGCTCCAGGGTTGCAGCCTGCCCTTTGCCTGCATATCCCTCGCGGCAGCTTCCACCAAGCTCCTGGCCGTCAGCGTTCCAGCATTGCAGCCTGCCCTTTGCCTGCACATAGCCCTCTCTTGTTAGGGCATTCGAGCCTGTCGTTTGCCAGGCTTCAAACCCCTAAAACCCCTAAAACCCCTAAAACCCTCCAATTCCCTCGCGGCAGCTTCCACAACGCCCTCTGGCCGTCAGCCTTTGCTGCTCCAGGGTTGCAGCCTGCCCTTTGCCTGCACATCCCTCGCGGCAGCTTCCACCAAGCTCCTGGCCGTCAGCATTCCAGCATTGCAGCCTGCCCTTTGCCTGCACATAGCCCTCTCTTGTTAGGGCAATGCTTCGCTGCAGAGGTCTTGCCATTGCCATCTGTTCCTACGGCAAGCGCAATCTTTCTATTTCATGTCCTTTTTTTCTTTGCCTTTTTGTCGGGAACGTGCCAATGTTTCATCTGGCATCGTTTTCCCGAGGGCGTGACATGCGTCACCGCAATGCGCCCACATGACTGCGAGGACCACACAACAGTTGAGCACACCGGGCAGCTGTGCGCATGACACCGTGTGTTCTTGCTGACCGCACTGTCCTTCACATAAAATTGGTTCCCACAGACTGTTCGATGGTCTATTTGCCCCGTCCTGACATCGCTTCTCACATTTCCCGTGCAAAATGGACACCTGTAAACGATGCCTTTTTCTTTAACAACACCATCCTGAACAGAAAATTTGTTCCCACAGACTGTTCGATGGTCTATTTGCCCCGTCCTGACATCGCTTCTCACATTTCCCTTGCAAAATGGACACCTGTAAACGACGCCTTTCTCTTTAACAACAGCATCCTGAACAGAAAATTTGTTCCCACAGACTGTTCGATGGTCTATTTGCCCTGTCGCCACGTTACTAGCTACATGCCCATTGCAAGCAGGACAAACGTAGTCATACTGTTTCGCACAGGGGCGTCCTTCCCTGACTTGGAAATAGTTACCGCATGTGCGGCGGTGATTGACTTGGCCTGTTCGTATAGTACTGTTTACAGGCTGCTTGCAATGCGGACACACGTAGTGGAAAATCTTGCCTTTGGCCATGGCTTCTGCTGCCTTCGTTGGCCGCACCGCCCTCTGCCGTCCGTTGCTGTCGTCCTGTTGGCCATGTACCTCTGCAGGCCCCTCTGTGGTCATTTCTGTTCCGTTCTCTTGTCTGCGCTGTTTTGCCTTCGGCTCTGCTTCCTTCCTTTGGGGGCTCTCCTGTTCTCTCTTCCGTTTTCGTTCCGCGATGGCATCCCAGACATCGGCGATGGCGCGTGCCTTTTTTTCTTCCGCTGCCCTCCTCGCCACTTTCGCCTGCGTTGCCGGTACCCGCTGTACCGCTTTGCTGATGCTTCCCCGGGGAATGGGGCACTGCCAGCAGTTGCTACAGACTTGGTCACCATTACAAGAACGATGTTGCGCCAGCCAAGATTCAAAAGCGCACGCTGCTTGCTTTACCTTGCAGACGCTGCATCTCCACCACCCCCATGCTTTACCCGAACAATCTAGACACACTCACCTCCCCCTGCGTGCTCGTTTCCAGGCCCCGCCAGAAAATTTCTTTTCGTCCCGGATGGTCTACACCAAGTTGACATGGAACATGACAGATGAACATGACACGAGTTTTTTGAAGCATCAGGTTAGGAGGCATACACAGGAAACCAGTTCCAAAATCATGGACAAAGGCAAGGAAAACATCCAACGTTTGTACCAACAGACCTGGAAGTAAGTGGTGATTAATGATTACTACTCCCAACAGACCAACTTTGTTCCAATCATTACTACTCCCTGTTCCAACCTTGTCTTGCGCGTTGAATGTCCAGGGAGTAGCAATCGTTTGTTTTTGTCTAACTTTAACTACCAACAGACCTGGATAAGTCGAATTGTAAAGACAGAAGCTGTTGGTGGGACAACAAAAATAAGCAATTTCCATCAGTTTCCATAAAACTGGCCAGTGTGGATCGTTTCCGAGTGTTGGTGAATAAGAGGTGCCACAGCTTTGAAGAGTCACAATTATTCCGCTGACCCCGCCTGACCGTCCGTAACACTCCCCATGACCGTATGTAGATTGATCCACCAATTGAGAATGACAACCCGACCACCGGACCATCGAAGCAAAGCTGCCGGGATCGCCCGGCCATTGCCAGCACCGTTCAGCTTCTCAACCGGCTGCTGGGCTGCAACCTTCCCATCCATGGCACTGGCACTGGCAAGGAGGGGGGCGCCCTTGAAAGGGGGTCGGCGGCACCAGGGCGTTAGCCCATTCTATAACAACATTGCAGCGGAATAACGGCGAGCCCACATAAAGGAATCTACGGTAGACGGAGCCAAAACGACACATGTGGAAATTAACTTAAGATCAAGGCAAAACAACGACATTAAGCTGCACGCAACACGACGGCAAGGACAGCGACATGCCATCTACAGCAGACGGCACCGAAACGCCGCATGCCGAAATTAACATAAAATCAAGGCATCACAGCACAGCGGAACAAAGCTGCATGCAAACAACGAGGCAACCGTCAAACAAACACCAAGGTCTACAACGACGGGCAACGAGCTCATAATGCTGCTATGACATCACGCTGCAGCAACCGGTTGACCGACAGACAGACAGACAGAGACAGACAGAGACAGACAGAGAGACAGACAGAGACAGACAGAGACAGACAGAGACAGACAGAGACAGACAGAGACAGACAGAGACAGACAGAGACAGACAGAGACAGACAGAGACAGACAGACAGAGACAGACAGAGACAGACAGACAGACAGAGACAGACAGAGACAGACAGAGACAGACAGAGACAGACAGAGACAGACAGAGACAGACAGAGACAGACAGAGACAGACAGAGACAGACAGAGACAGACAGAGACAGACAGAGACAGACAGAGACAGACAGAGACAGACAGACAGACAGACAGACAGACAGACAGACAGACAGACAGACAGAGACAGACAGAGACAGACAGAGACAGACAGAGACAGACAGAGACAGACAGAGACAGACAGACACAGACAGAGACAGACAGACACAGACAGACACAGACAGACACAGACAGACACAGACAGACACAGACAGACACAGACAGACACAGACAGACACAGACACAGACAGACACAGAGAGACACAGACAGACACAGACAGACACAGACAGACACAGACAGACACAGACAGACACAGACAGACACAGACAGACACAGACAGACAGACAGACAAACAGATAGACAGATAGGTAGATAGATAGAAAGACAGACACACAGACATATAGGTACATACACAAAAGGATAAATCGATAAGTAGAAAGGGAGAGGGGGATACAGATAGAGAGAGAGAGGGAGTGAGAAAGAGAGGGATAGAGAGAGAGAGAGAGGGAGAGAGAGAGAGAGAGAGACAGAGGGAGAAAGAGAGATCAACACACAGATAGACGGGCACACGGGCACATATCAGTCCTAGGGCATCGTCACAAGAGCCACATCATACGGAAATTTACAGGCAAAATGCCGCCGGCCAGAATGATCCCAGAACGCAGACACACACTTTGTGCGAGCCTGCACTTCGACATGTCACAAGAGCCACTTTTTACGGATATCTACAGGTAAAATGCCGTGGCCCAGATTGAGCCCAGAACGCGGACACACACTTTGTGCGAGCCTGCGCAGTCGAAATGCACTTCAACATGTCACAAGTGCCACATCATACGGAAATTTACAGGTAAAATGCCGCAGACCAGAGTGAGCACCCAGATCAGGCACCGGCCTTTACACCTACCGTAAGAACCCCTGAGTGTGGACAAACTGTTTGGGGAATCAAAAGGCAGACTGCAACTGCCTGGTCCATTGACATGGTTCCTTGAAGTGATGCAAGCGTGTCACTTCTGGACTGTACAAAGTCTGTGTAGCACTTAGGCAGCAAGAACCACCACGTTGCTACCCCGGGCACACGGGCACCCGGGCACAACCCCGATCCACGGGCACAACCCCGATCCACGGGCCCGTGGGCACACGGGCACCCGGGCACAGGCCAACAGAAGACTGCCCTCCTGACTTGGATTGATATGTGAACATTCTTCCCCAGCCTCGTTTGCATAGCCATAGACGCCTTGGTATGAGTTGCTATCTACACTTGCTGGGTTCAGCCAAATGTAACCAGATGTCGCAATGCAAGTACTTGTCTGGCCTCTTAGACAGATTACCGTAGGCCTTGCCCGATTGCATTACGGAATTGCTGACACTCCGTTACGATTGATTGGAAAATGTGACTTAAATTCTCAGCTTCAGATTTGCCGCAAGCTTTCTAGAGGTGCTGAGAAAATGGACTGAGATGGGGAAGACTAGCGTAAGTTTGCACACATCGAAGGTTGGAAAGGACAAGGCCTGAAACATAAACATTCATAAACAATCTCTGTGCCGCTTGGTCACATTCCCCTCGAAATTTCTCTCTGCCAGGCCAGTCCACATCTCGTCCTTGACCACATGCAACTTGAAGGTGCCAAAAGACCGGAAGAAATGAAATGAAACCTTTTGACAGGGCAAGCTGTGGGAAAACTCAGGCGTCAACTTTTCCCAATTCTGCGATTTGTGTGAAAGCACACGCTCATTGCATGCGTCTGCAACAAAGTCAATGCAGATTCTCCAAAACACTTCTGAGACAACACAGAACAAGCAAGGTAATTTGAGAGGTCTGAGACTGAAGTCGCTAAAGTGACTGAAGTCACTGAAGTACCTTGTTGGTCTCACCGGTCTTCAGATTCTTCCAATGCACATCATAGCTTTTGTCCTTGGGAAAAACTGCTCACTGCGAACCGCACATCACACTGTCACCCAAGCTGGGGAGGTGACATTTCGCTGTGTGACCTGGCTAATTGATGAATTGACCCATGAGATGCTCCCTATTTTCAGGCTCCAAAAGCTTCCCCTTTGAAAAAAACTCTAACACATCCAACGAAATGCCATCGACATGCACAAAGTACCTTGAAGACGTCGATCCCACAGCGGAACTTGCCGTAGGAAAACTTTGCCGCAACCTAGCTGTGGTATAATATGGCTAGTCGCTAGCACAGTTGCGACATGTTGCGACAAAATTTGGCAACTGAGTGCTAAACTGTAAACAAGTCTCGCAGGATGTCATGGGTGGGAGAATGATCCTGCCATTCATATCTAATTACATTACATGTCCTCGTCTCATTCTGGCATGCGACCGAATGATATCCCATGATCATATGATATCATATGTGGGATCCCCAAGCTGCTTGAACAACATTGGCGGAACGTATTCAGCAACAGCAGCGTCCGTATTTGGTCGAGATCCAGGGCCCTCTTGATTCACCATTCCTGAGTCAAGAAATCCATATCTTCGCCAGTCCAGTCATTACATTTGGTCCCCCTTTAAGGAATGCACTAGTCACATTCACTCAGGATACTGGCTCTGTATCTGCAGGTCATGCCAATCTTGAAGCACCATCCTGACTTGATCACCATTGATCTTACCAAGTGGCGGTATCCCACTTCAGAAGTGTTCACCCGCGAAAATTGATTGGCATAGTATGTCCAAATCCTGAGAGGTGTCTTGACATGGCGCGAAGGGCAGCTCACTTGGAAGAGTCCGGACAAGTTCCAAGTCTGGGACCCACCAAGAGTTTCGTAGCGGTCCAGAATGAGGACGTCCCTGCCAAGATTTCCCATCTCTCAACGGCTGTGCCAGCCCATCACATTGGCATGCCTGGCCTGCCAGCCTCAACCATGGCCCTTGCTGAAGTCACTCCAGCTATCCCAGCTCCAATGACCACGCAATCAGTCTGGCATGGGCCGAGTTTAGAGGTTGAAGTTGCATTTACATGTTTGAACAGCATCCAGAATCACATTCTGGCATGGCATGGTCGTGATAGAATCTGGGAACCAAAGCCTCGTCCGGAATAGGGCCAGATGTCGGACCGACATCTGGCAACATCTTTGCAAGATCCTTAGCCATCACTATCGCAGCTAGGATGTCCACCTGAAAAAAACACTTCGCTTTGATGAGTGCCAGGCCCAATTGTGGGTCCCATCTGTTAAAACGATACACCTTCTTTAGAGATGTGGAAGTAACATATATCAATAAATAGTCGAAGGAAGTTTAGAAGTCAAAATTCCGACAATATGGACAGATGAAAAGCAGAGATGGGAAGAGTCAGGGAAGAGAAGGGGAAGAGAAGAGAAGAGAAGAGAAGAGAAGAGAAGAGAAGAAGAAAGAAGATCAAAAAAGAGAAAGTCCCAGAAGAAAGAAGATCCAGGTGCGCGAAGCGAAACACTGTGTTTTTCCAATGATTTGTGGCTCCGGAGGGTCCAAAAGTAGGCTCGCTAAAGCGGCAGGTGCGGAGCCATGTGGTCAGATGAGAGATGAAAAGTTGCACGCCGTTGTGACGCGAAGCACGCTTATAAGTCAAAATGTACAAAACACACCAACGTCGGACAACTTTTGGAAGTTGAGATGTCGAAAAAGTGCATGGTGTTGTGGCGCGAAGCACATTTCCAAGTCAAAATGTACAAAACACCTGAGTGTTTGACACATGTCGAAAAAGTGCACGCCGTTGTGGCGCGAAGCACGTGTGGAAGTCAAAATGCGCAAAACACACCATGCTCGGACCACTTTTGGAAGTTGAGATGTCGAAAAAGCGCACGCCGTTGTGGCATACGAGTAGTAGCAGTAGTAGCAGTAGTAGTAGTAGCAGTAGTAGCAGTAGTAGCAGTAGTAGCAGTAGTAGCAGTAGTAGCAGTAGTCGTCGTTGTCGTAGTATGGTTATGTGAATACTGATATGTGTAAGTATATATATATAATATGTGTGTAAATGTATGCAGTCGAGCAACTTTTTCGATTTCATGTTTCAACATAGTTTCGCTGATCTTGCTCAGCAGCTCCGGAACAGGGCCTTGGATTGTGTTCAGCGGCCACTCTCATCGCTTTGGAGGATCCACTGGGATCGCCGCTGAAGGAATATCCGTGCCCTTGCTGTGCCAGCACTTCACCATCAGCAACGTCCTTCGCAAAAAATATGACCGGACTTAGTGAAAAAGTAGTCCGATTGAAGCCTACCTAAGCCCAAACAGAATACTGTGGCGTACCTATCTGGAGTTTTTCTGGCTTCCACGCACATCTTTTTAACCTCTGCGGTTTGCAAATCAATGAGACTTTGTGCCAAATCATTGACTTCCCGTAGCAAGCTTGGAGCCTCCAGGGGTCGATGTGATACAAAACAGCTGCACTTTGCTGAAAGCGCCATAATTGGGAGGGGGTCTAAAGCGTGATCGGTGACTTGCTGATGATTCCTATGGGATCGCCAGTCCAGAGCGAAACTCAACGCCAAAGGCATGAAGAGTTGTCAGCTCTCCTTCCCACCTCGCTCTTTTCGGTTCGAAGCTTCAGAAGAGATTCAGTTGCCTGGCAATTTTCACAAAAGGCGATGCCTACAATCAATCGAGTGCTGAAGTCACAGCAATTTTCTTGAATGTGGACAAATCGCTTGCGAAAAAATCGCCACCCGGTCACAGCAGGGTCACAGCAATCCTCATAGTTTTTCACTATGAGTTCCTTATTATTTCCTTATCATATGTGTCCCTTTTAGTTTTCCTATTAGTTCCCAATTATTTATTTCCCTACTAGTTCCAAATTTCGTTATTACTTCACCATTTTTTGGCTATTATTCCCTACTGTGACGTTTCGCTCCTGTAAGCTAGATATGCTAAACAACCTCGCCAGCTAGTAAATTTCTGATCATCCAAGTACCCACGTGGAAATATAAGGATTGGACCCTCAAAAAACTTTAAACCACTGAACAAATCATCGCAACTCCAATAGGCACAGCCACAACTGCTGCGACACCCCTGGAGAGCTTCGCCCAACGGTCTGAAAGCACCACAAAAAATCGCTAGGACTTTGATCCTTGACTGTATCAGTGAAGCTAAAATGGGGCACGGAGAGATGAGCAAAGCGTCCATCCCGAAGAAGTGCGCCTGCAAACAACGAACACACTCCTCAGGAGGAAAGTTATTCATCCGTTGCAGCAATAGTGCGCATAGCGGATCCAACCTGATTTGTTCGAGAAGTCAGCTCTACAGGACACAAATTGTCTTCAAAAGCACAAGCAAGAAGAAACTGCAAAATCTATATACTGATTTCAGATCAGCCACAAGTCCATCTCCCAGGCTGATGGCTCCTCAAGCCCTTGCAGCAAATCAGCAAATGCCTTCGGAGAGTTTGCATCACACAGCAAAATATTGTATATATATATATTATACATACATGCATTACATACATAACAATACATACATACATATCATACATAACATACATAACATACATAACATACATACGATACACAACATACATAACATACATAACATACATAACATACATTACATACATTACATACATTACATACATTACATACATTACATACATTACATACATTACATACATTACATACATTACATACATTACATACATTAATACATTACATACATTACATACATTACATACATTACATACATTACATACATTACATACATTACATACATTACATTGCATACATACATTACATACATTACATACATTACATACATTACATACATTACATACATTACATACACTACATACATTACATACATTACATACATTACATACATTACATACATTACATACATTACAACCATTACAACCATTACATACATTACATACATTACATACATTACATACATTACATACATTTACGCACATTACATACATTACATACATTTACGCACATTACATACATTACATACAGTACATGCATTACATACATTACATACATTACATACATTACATTCATTACATACATTACATACATTACATACATAACATACATAACATACATAACATACATAACATACATAACATACATAACATACATAACATACATAGCATACATAGCATACATAACATACATAACATACATAACATACATAACATACATAACATACATAACATACATAACATACATAACATACATAACATACATAACATACATAACATACATAACATACATAACATACATAACATACATAACATAAATAACATACATAACATACATAACATACATAACATACATAACATACATAACATACATAACATACATAACATACATAACATACATAACATACATAACATACATAACATACATAACATACATAACATACATAACATACATAACATAACATACATAACATAACATACATAACATAACATACATAACATAACATACATAACATAACATACATTACATACATTACATACATTACATACATTACATACATTACATACATTACATACATTACATACATTACATACATTACATACATTACATACCTTACATACCTTACATACATTACATACATTACATACATTACATACATTACATACATTACATACATTACATACATTACATACATTACATACATTACATACATTACATACATTACATACATTACATACATTACATACATTACATACATTACATACATAACATCCATAACATCCATAACATCCATAACATCCATAACATCCATAACATACATAACATACATAACATCCATAACATCCATAACATCCATAACATCCATAACATCCATAACATCCATAACATGCATAACATGCATAACATGCATAACATGCATAACATGCATAACATGCATAACATGCATAACATGCATAACATGCATAACATGCATAACATGCATAACATGCATAACATGCATAACATGCATAACATACATAACATACATAACATACATAACATACATAACATACATAACATACATAACATACATAACATACATAACATACATAACATACATAACATACACAACATACATAACATACATAACACACATAACATACAAAACATACATAACATACATAACATACATAACATACATAACATACATTACATACATTACATACATACATTACATACATACATTACATACATACATTACATACATTACATACATTACATTACATTACATTACATTACATTACATACATACATACATACATTGCATACATACATACATACATTACATTACATTACACTACACTACATTACATTACATTACATTCATTACATTCATTACATTCATTACATTACATTACATACATTACATCCATTACATACATTACATACATTACATACATTACATGCATTACATTACATTACATTACATTACATTACATTACATTACATTACATTACATTACATACATACATACTTACATTACATTACATTACATTACATTACATTACATTACATTACATACATACATTACATACGTACATACATACATACATTACATACATACATACATACATACATACTTACTTACTTACATACATACATACATACATACGTTGATATTTGTATATATATACATATATTTATATTTTATACATACATACGTATATGTATATATATATATATTATACGTATAATATATATATATATATAATATGATTCTCCACCGTCCACTGTCAAAACAGTTCAACTGTCAACATTAAAATGCAAAGTGCATAAGATGATTTGAAATGGATATATCTGCTGCAGCCGCCTGCAACGCACCGACTAGAGCAACTGAATCGAGCTCACTGCAGCGATGCCCCAGGCTTGCCGCTACATTCTTGCAGAGCCGCAATTGTTGATCTGCGCTCAGCCTGTGACCCCGGAAGCGTTCTTTGAACCGTTTTTCCCGTACGTGATGGGAAGGGGAACCCATGGATGTGTGATTGACATCTGAACTGGTGATGCTAGTTTGGAATCACTGATTGTTGATTATTAAACAAATTCATTCTTGACTCCCATCTTTTTAAGAAATCATAACTTTCATCGCTGCTTCTCTCGCCTTCGCCAAATGGGTCCCGATTCGCCCAGGCCTTTTGCCACTACTATGGCCTGCAGTCGACGAAGCACATCGCGTGGAGCCACTTTGGCGGCATAGCTGAAGCCTGCATCGGAGCCCAACTTGTCAGCCATATCCAACAACAAACGGCTCCCCTGCTGCGTGGCCGGTAACTTCGCTACTGCGATGCAGAGATTGGTCACATCACTGGCAGGCGTGAAGCGATCAAACAAACCTCCACGAGCATGCATAAATAGCTGGTTCAGCAAACCTGGATGTGGTGGCTGCACACGGCTGGCTTCGTCAACTCCGCCCCCAAACCGATCTTCCAATCCGAGTCTGACCATTGCAGCCAGTAGTTGAGAAATGTCCGTCACAGCTGCATCGGGCAAGGTTTGGCTGGCCCGGTGCAGGAGAAAGTCGATGGCATCCAGATTGTCCTTGTAGCCGTGCTTGCTGAACGCTTTCAGCAACATGGCAACATCGTTGGCACTCATAGCTGTATGATTCCCCAGCTTGTGCATGTCAGAAAAAGTTGCATCGGTTCCATCTCCTTCATCAAAGTCCCAGTTTTTTTCAGACAGAAGCGCGTCACAGGCCGCGGCTAGGAGCTCTGCATCACTGCATCTGGCACGGTGGAATCCAAATAAAGCCCGGCACAGTTCCGGCGGTGACAAGGCCAACATCAAGGCCTGACAACGGCAACTGAGGCGTTCCCACAGCTGCTGATGGTTGGAGCCATGGCTCAATGTGGCACCAGCTCGACTTGCCCTATCAATGGCATCTAAAAGCTGCTTGGGGCCCATGGATGCTGTGGATCCCCAGGCCATCACAGGATCCAGGACTAGGATACCTCCACGATATCCTCCTCGCTTCTTCCCAAAGCTGCGTACACCACGCGCAACGATGTGACATCGCAACCGCTCTGAGATTGTTGCCATGGCTTGGCATCTTGGAAATCTAGCGGAACAGGTATCCCTGCTAGAATCTGCTGGAAGGAATCTTTGTTTTCACCTTCTGGATTTGCTCACGCATGTGGAAGAAAACAAACTACGGAAATCGGACCTGGCTCAACATGTTCTGGCAGCATGGCATTTGCACATGGTCTATGACAGTGTGTGGCTAAGCGTTGCGGTGTGAAGTAACTGGCTACTTTCAGGATTCAAATCAGGAAGCATGATGCTCTCTGTAGTATTTTTCAGAGTCGTGAAATGACATAAAGCTTCACCGGGCACAGGAAACATGGAGCTCAGGCAAGCTGCATGCAGTACATTTGTTGAACTATTGCATGTGTTTGTCTCAAAATTCAGAATACCCAATTTTATGGGAAACTGTATGCAAATGTTACGAGGAGAATGATGATAAACTGATAAACCATTGGCTTTGGGGGTATGGGGTATGCAATTTCCAGACAAACCTAAAAGAAACAAATGATGTCAACAAAGTCCTCCAGAGCCACAAACTCAAAGTTCTCTGGCTTTGCATAGGAACTCCAAGCCTGGTGGCAAGTGGCAGACTTGGCATGGGTTTTCAGGTAATTACCACGCAAAATGCTTTCCTGGCCCTTACCCGCTGATAACGTTTGGCCATGCTTGAACCATACCCAAATGGCTAGGCATGCAAGAGCTCTAGAGGAGGTTCGCTTCAAATACCGCCGTAAAGAAACTTCTGAGAACGCTGGATGTACAAAAAACAAAGCCTTCACCATACTCTGATCCACGAGTTCATCTTCATCATGTGCCATTGCAACAACCTTAAAATAAAGCATGACAAGATCCAAAGTGATTTTGTCAACATGTTAAACTATGCAAGCTACTGCTGACCGCTGCTGGGCTAGAGGACAGAATCTTCTTAGCATTTTGCCAGCTCTGGGCCGCAAACTGGAATGTTGACAGCAGGGCACTCATCCTTAGCGCGCAGGTCAGCAGGTTTCAATCTTTTCTGGTGGACAGCAGTGGACCACGGAAAGCGACATCAAAAAATATTTCGTCGGATTGCTTTGCGGTTTGCAGTCACAACTCCTTTTACATTGGGTGGCAAAAATCTCGGTGGTTCTGGTTCTGGTCATCAGGATTGGTCTTGCGTCGTTGTCGTTGTCGTTT